AAAAAAATTGAAAATTCTTGTAAAATTATTGCTATTTGATCATTTGTATTAATCCATTTACATCTATCGATCTATCTAGCTCTCTCTCTCTCTCTCTCTCTATATATATATATATATATATATATATATATATATATATATATATATATATATATATATATGCACGACATATACTATTGTGACATTATTTAGGGTTGCGTGAAAAAAAGAAGCTATCACGAAAAGACACTGAGCGATGTTATTTTTTCTAACAAAGAAAAGTGGTAAAGAGTTTATTTTCATTAGCGAAGAAAGTAAGATATCGGATTGTTTTTATTTATGTTACCGGGTGGCGAATAAGATATAGCCATCTGCCCATGGCAATAATGAAAGTTTCAAATTGGCCGAGTGGCCTACGGGACAGAATGCTAAGAGATAAAAATTAATTAGGTCATGCTCGGAACGTGAAAAATGTCCGGTGGATCACCCACAAGTTAAAAAGAAAGATAGATTAAACCATTAACTATCGTCGGAGATAACATGGGTTTGAAAGAAAAACACCTGTCTTATTGTCCAAACCAGGACATGATAGAAATTATTTTATCGGAACGGATAATTGGCACCAGGGTGCAAAGTCGCCAAATGACCACCTACTTGTTTGGCAAAAATCTTGATTGCCGAACTTCAGATGAAATTCGGTTAAGATAGAGATTAGAGTTGTGTGAGGTCTCCTCGAAAGCAAAGAAAAGAAAAAAAAAGGGAAGATAATTTTTTTTTCTTTGAGCGAGATTTTTAAACCGAGGCCAGTCCGGCCGAGCCCACACTGTTGAACGTTCACTGGTCGAAGGGTGGCGTGAGCGGTAGGCGAAGGTAAACTATGATGAAGGAGAGGAGGCCTGTTGACGCCCACTAAAGGGATCGGTGCGAGATGCCACTGTGAGAGAGAGGGGAAGCCTGTTGACGTCTCTGAAGGGATTGGTATGAGATACCAATATGAGAAAGGAAGAATTTGGGAAGACGATTCCCTTAGACTAGAAATTAAAGATTTCAAAAAATGGAAAATAAAAGATTTTCCTGATCGAAAACAAAGAAAACCCTTAATGCGGAATTAGAATTATCAAGGAACCTCAAACCCCGACAAGCCCACCCCGGTTTTGGTCGGCGTCCATATAAGCAGAGTCACAGCGAGTGGACGGCAGATCGCAGTTGAGTTTTGCAGTTGAGTTGAGTTGAGTTGGGGTTAGAAAGACAGGCAAGCAATTGAGCTGGGATCTCTGAGACCGCCTCGCAGAAAGCTGACAAGACCCACGCATTCTCGACCTCAACTTCTAACCAAGAACAATTTATTTTTGAAGAACGACTTAGACTCACACCACCAAAACAAGTTTTGCGAATATCGCCTGAAGACACCAAGAACCAGTTTCGTAAAGAAAAAAACAACTTAAGATGTTAAGACTCGCCTAACAAACACAAAGTGTCACAAATCCATATAGCGGTTTGTGAGGAAGATGCAGTCCTGTATTCAGAAACCAGATATAAAATATTGTTATCCATTTTTAACACATTTGAACTTTTCGAATTGTTACTTTATTTTCTTTTACATATACTTGTGCGGTATTACCCTTGTTCGGACTCGACATGCATTACGGCCCGGCGACTGATTGATTTCGTCTACCTAAGATCCAATCACAACGTGGGTAGGTTAGACTAGAAATCAAAGCAGTTACTTCGGTAACCAGACGTTGGAGGCGAGCTGTGAACGACAAGGCTGATGCCGAATCTAACCAGATTCCCATCCGAATCAGCAAAAGGTTAGAACGTCACATTTGGTGCCGCGACCAATACCAAGTCACAATGGTCGTCGCGGGACAGGATAGAACAGCGACGGCGCGGAGACAGACGGAGTGACGTCACAATTGGCGCCGCGACTAGGACAGCACGGCGGGCGCGGCCAGGCAGACGCCACATTTGGCGCAGCGACCCCGGGTTGACGTTACACTATCTTTCTCTGTTAAGTACCTATCAATATATTTATGTACATTATTTCTATCTTCTATATATCTATCCTCCTCCACCTCCTCCTCCTCCCTCCCTCTCTCTCTCTCTCTCTCTCTCTCTCTATATATATATATATATATATATATATATATATATGATAGATAGATAGATAAATGAATAGGATGAGATAGATAGATGAATAGATAAAAATAAATAAATAAATGGCATCATATATATATATATATATATATATATATATATATATATATAAAAAAACGGTATAGTATATATAATATTTTTAATTAAGGTTGATACAACTAGTGAGACTTCCATTCCTTTCATTATTGAAAGTAAAGTGATTTAATTTTTAATTTGAAATACAGTATAATGCTTAATTGTAATGAACAATAACATACACACACACATGTATATCTTTCTTTGTGTGTGTGTTTAATTTAGTGTATTTACACAGCAAATGTACTTAAATGAATTTTTCTTAAAAGCAACAGACATTCGGTCGATT